GGAAAGAGATAAACGAATTCATAAATTTACACACCTTTTTCGTCGTCGTGACCCTTGCCCTTTAGGACGCAGATCACGATAACGGCAACGATAATGACGAGTACGGCCGCAACAACAGGTACCACCAGATTTAAATTGGCCATGAATATTTTCATGGGATCGTCGCTGCTGTCACCTGCGTTTACGTCCGGAAGTTCGCGGGCCGGCGCAATGGTGCCTAAAACAGAAGCCAAGATGTACGTGCGATGGGATCGTTAAGTGATAAGAAAGTGATTGTGAAACCGATAACCGTGTAAGATAATGTGCCACCATTGACGCCGACCACGCGAAACCAATGCGTAACGGCATACTCACTTCCGGTTACGGTGAGCGTTGCGAATTCGTATTCGGCCACTGCGAATCCGGCGTTGTTGTGTGCGGTGACACGGAGGTGGTACCAACTTGCGGGGTCCAAGTCCATTACTACGAAGTTACCGCCGGGTTTCACATTGTTCGACACCTGGTTCCACTCTTGCTGGTGTCTGTACAAACAAACGCAACAATTGAAATCACATTTTGTTCAGCAATTTTATCAAGAAAAAAAAAAAATGGTATTTTCATTCCTCATCGATAACCCATCGATATCAATGGCGTACCAGCTTCATTTATTAGTCATTTGAAGGTTTTTAACGGATATGCTGGTAGTTGCGAGTAGTTGTTGGTTGGTATAATTATGTGCGGTTTTGATGAGAGCAATGATGATTAGTAATTTAAGTACTTCATTGATATTGCCCGTTTATTTGTTTAAAAAAAAAAAAGAAGAAAAAAAAAAGTTCCTTGTACCTTTTCTTATGCTCAACGACAAAGTGAAGCATTGGACAGCCACCATCGGACCAAGCATGAAGATGTAGCGTGATACTCTTGGTTGACACTTCGATGAATCTCGCTGCTTCGGGTATTATGGGTTTCGAGCCTTTTGTGCGCGTATTAAGTATGTCTGACGGCTCACCCATACCAATTCTAACAATTCGATAATAAAGAATATTGCGTTTATAATTTCAGCCACTAAAAATGAAATATCGGCTATTCTGCAAATTCACTTACGCGTTGTAGGCAGTGACGTAAATTTGATATCTCGATCCACACCAGAGATTTTCTAAGGTGTATTTGAGAGCGGTTGAGCTAATTTGCACAGTCTCCCAATCTCCAAATTCAGGTTTGTAATGAATAGTGTATCCGTGAATAGGCGCATTATCCGTAGGATGAGGACGCAATTTCATGGTCAACGAGTTGGTCGTTGTGGCGGTTAATGTTACTTGAGGTGAATGCGGAGGAGCTGCGATAAATTATAATAATCCTCGTTACGTCCTCGACATTATCATATATTTTTTTCATTAGCTTGTAATAAATAAAGGTGATATTGCATTTGCAACAACTTTACCATGCACTATGAGTTGATGGGTTACGGTGTCATGACCAAATGTATTTTCAACGTAGCACGAATACTCTCCGGCGTCCGTACGGTCGACCTCCTTGATAAATAGAGAACCCTCGGGCAATTGTCGTAAGCGATCGGTTGGCGCAAGCTTCATACCCCTTACTTTCCAGGTGACTTCGGGAGCGGGAACTCCGACTGCTAAGCACGGCAGCTTAACGTCCTCTTTGTATGTTGCAACGAACTTGTCGTCGAAAGATGCAATTTTCGCCGGTACTGTTAAATATAAAAGAAAGTTTTGTTACGATAGGCGCGTATTGGTCTGGATAAAGTTGTTCGACGTAGATGTAAGAGAGATATTTTCGAACCACTAGCGCTAGGTGCAAGATTGACAATTTTCGAGGGCTGTCCTTCTCCAATATTTGTACTAGCCGTCACCCAAAAATCATAGCGCCGTTTTTCGTTTAATCCGGAGACTTCGTGTGTCAATTGAGTCGGTGGTACTTTTTGGCTAACCGCTTGTTCCGAGTTGTTCGCTTTCGTATAAACTGTATATTGCGAAATAATTCCGTTTGGCTGAGTTGGAGGTCGCCAAGAAACCAAAATTGAATCGGCAGACATGACTAGAGCTTTGATCGCAGTTGGCGATTCGGGAGCTGCAATTAATTGATATTAAAGTACTATTGAATTAACGAAACGTACGTGATTTAGGGTGGTGGTGGGGAGGAGGAGGATGAGGAGGAGGAGGAGGAGGAGG